ATCTATATTTGTTTCGAATATTTATATAGGGTTAAGTAAAAATATAAAATATTGAACAATTAATATTTAATTGATTTTAATTCTGAATTAAACGACTTGAGTTCATAAAAAAATTCGAGATTTTTTACCGAAAAAATGGAATTTATACAGATAAATTGGGTTTTACCAATATATTGGCTAGGCCCATATTATTATTTTATTTATTTCAAAAAAAATGAAAAGATTGATGATTATTTTTTTAATTTAAGGTAATTATGAACTACCTGTCCTCGAGTTGTGAACTAAGTTAGTCAACTAAATCGAGTACCTATTAGGAATCTTATGAACTCAACTATTCAACAACACTACTCATTATAACCCTGTTATATTTCAAAGATGACAAATTATTCGGGCAGTTTTAAGAAATGGGTAGTATTTTAATTAAATATGTAGTAGAACAATATTTTATTGGTATTTCAAATTTTTGAGAAGTCAATATTTAATTTTCAAGTTTTTTTATTGATTTGGGCAGTATTTAAAATAAATAGGTAGTTTTAAAATAATTTGGCAAGTATTTTAAATTTTTGGTCAGATTTTTGAGTTTTTATATTTATTGGGACATTTAAAATTTTTACATTAACTTTTAAAATGGATTTAATGAAACCAATTGATGAATATTGTTCAGATTCATATGATTACTAGAGGGAGAACTCGGACATGACTCGGACAGATCAGCGCAGGTTTTTGGTCCATTTTATGTCTTTCAATTCAATTATTTCATATTTTATTTAAGATATTTGTAATATTAAAGTTTTTACAGCCACTTAATAACTTTTCTCCCAAAATAATAGTGCCCTTCTCTCACATATAGTTGGCATTGAAAAAAAGGAAAAGGTGTTTCAAAAAAACGCCATTAGACTAAAAAAAAGAGTAATTTAACATAATACTCCCAAAAAATAATATATATTTGGCCACTGACCATTTTTTTAAAATTTGTATCCACATTAGAGCCTCGTTTCATATACATTTTTGCGGTCCAGCCTGAACAAAAATCTATTTTCTTTTATTCTCCCAATTCGACCCAAAATTTGTTGAAGAAATTTGAGACAGATTTAATAAACGAGTCATATACTTTACAACGTTAAAATGTTTAGCTTAAAGCCTTAGGTTCGTGTCCATACTAGGCTAACTTTTTCAGCGGTGTCCCCGATGCTCTTAAATCTATGAAATACTTATATATACAGCATTACAAATTTGTTTTAAATAAAAAAATTCTTAAAATAAATTTCCCAACTTGGACTCAAATTTAAGACATCTTTCTCAACTGTCAATCCTAGCGTTTAGATGACAAAAAATTTATTGAATGCAAAACTCACTAAAAAAAACTTATACCCATCCACTTAATTATATCTATATTTTTTATCGTAAATAATTTTTGATAACTGATTATAAACTTCCTAATGATAATATAAGTCTTGAATACTATTATTCAAATAAATTATAATTTACATGAATTAAAATTATATTAGTGACTACATCTACATATATTTATCTATTTTTGTGGTTGATTATATAAAGATAATTCAAGTCACTAAATAGAACTTTGTAAAATAAATTAAAAATCATTGTACTATTTATTTTTTTTTATTTAAATGCTTTAATTAAAACTGAAGTATTGTGTTAAAATTATCTTCATTTGGTTCTTATAATTACAGCAGACAGAACATACTTTATCATTTTATTATATTATAAAAAACTATTATCAAATTACATTTTACGAATCTTTTATGTGTATAGTTCTATTTATATAAAATATTATACCTCATACCAGATAGTTGTAGCATATATGCATTAGTTTAATCGACTTAAATAAAAAATGGTAAATGTTAACTTAAGTTAAATTAATTGAACGATAAAAAGTAACGCGTTAAAATAATATAAGTTAATTTAAAAAGTAACAATTTGACTTTAAGATTTAAAATAAAAAGAAAATAGCAATTCGATTTGAGTTACGCCAATATACCCAATGACTACTTAGGAAATTATAAAATTAATTGAAATAAAAAGTGAATCGCAAAAAATAGAAAATAAATTGTGATAAGCATATTCTCAACGGATTAACAACTATTAGTAAATATTAGTGACGAAGAGTCAAGTTTACTATTAGGGAAGCAATCAAAAAAAAATTTTTATTTTTATTTTACAGGGTTGCATGTGTTTTATTTGGTGATATAATAAAAACAAAAACTATTAAGTGGTATAATAATAAGTTTGAAGTGTTTAAAAAAACAGAAATACCACATTTATGTATTAGGAAAAAAATAGTTTAAGTGAATATTTTTTCAAATTTTTACAATAATTTTTTTAAAAAAAGTAACAAAAGAATTTACCTATGAAATGTTTCTAGAATATCGTATGTAATTGGAAAATTAATTTTTTGGAAGATTTGGAAGTGTAATACTGTATTGTAGTATTTAATGATCTTTATTTCAGATTCTAACCTTAAATTTCAATATTGATCATAAAGACTTATACTAAGAATTTAAAAAATCAGCCCCCACCTTTAAAGTAATTAACTTATATTGCAGATAAATGTAAATGCCATTCGTTTTTTTCTATAGAAAGGCGCTCAGAAGAACGAAATATAAAAATTATCAACCAAAGAATATTTTATTTTGTATATATTATAATAATCTATAATTACAAATACAAACATAATAATAATAATTTACATAATGATTTAATTTTGTAAGAAAATATTATATTTTTAAATTGCATTCTCGTTTAGTTTTGAGTGTTCCGAAATTGGCATCTTTATTTTTATAACTTTATTTTCATTCTTTCCATTTCAGGCTGGGACAACAATTTGGTTACTATGTCAATTTTCTCTTTATTCCAGCAATTAAATTTTCTTTTTGGGTTTTGAATTGCCGGTGAGTTTATAGGGTTTATTATAGTAAAATTGGCACTTTAGCAGATTGCGAAAATGATGTGGAAAAGGAATGATTAGATAAAAAGGAATTATTATTATATAAAGAAGAACTTCTAAAACTATTATTGGTATTATTGGATAAAATATTATTAATATTAAACATTTTAAATTTAAAAAATTATTTTTTTATAATTAAAAAGTTTTATAAAATTTTTTTATTAATTGTTAAATTTTTTTCCTAATACATAAATGTGGTATTTCTGTTTTTTTAAACACTTCAAACTTATTATTATTATACCACTTAATAGTTTTTGTTTTTATTATATCACCAAATAAAACACATGCAACCCTGTAGTCAAATTCAAATCATGAAAACATTAAGATTTATAAATAACTGGTATTCGTCTTTGTTTATGAGTAAAATGATCAAGTACTGCTTTATAAAAATTATCGCTAGATTTTAAATTTTTTAATAATTTTTTTTCAATCAAAATCAAAGATAAATTCGATAATCGATTTTGGCTCATCCTGTTTCTGCAAGATATGATTCTTTTTAAAGATGAAAAACTCCGTTCTGCACTTGCTGTTGTTGAAGCCAAAGTTAAGATGAATTTGCATAATTTAAAAAACTCTTTAAAACTTTTCATCAAATCGGTGCATATTAAAAGTATTTCATTAACATTCTTTTTCTTTCTAAATTCAATCCGAAACACTACCTTTAATTCGGTTTCCAGCTTGTATAAGTCGAAAAATTGAGAATAAGTGTCGTTTAAATTATTTAATAAATATTTTGGGAAATTTTGATTATTTGGAATTTACTAATTACTAACAATTCGTCGAATTTAATATTTTTTGGTGAAAGGCATATGAAATAGAATTAATCAAATCATTTTGAATATTACTTGATAGTCCAATAAAAACTGCACTATTTCTAAATGATGTTTCAATAGTAAATTTTCTTCCGCCAGCAAATAAATTTAATTTCCTTTATTTACTGATTAGAAGATTCATCATCACCATAAAATACGAGCTCCTAAATTCCAGTAAAAATATAGAGTTGATCAATATTTCTCTATTTGATTTGACTTTAGAATTATGTTGTTCGATTGATATTTTGCGCATCGAATCTATCATATTTTCAATACGATTTTGGCCAATATTTTTAATTGAATCATCGACTGCAAATGAGCGGTTGATTCTTTGCCGTTTAACTGCCTTTGCCGAAAATCCTTTATCATTACAAACATATTTTTCCTTTGGGAATAATAGGCATGACCAACAATATAGAGAATTAAAAAATTCACATCCAGTGAGCCATTCATATTTTCGATAAAAAAACTACGGATGCAAGTTTTGATTTCTTTTTTAAAGTTTTGTAAAATTGGTTTTGGTCTTCCTTTTTCAATAATCAATTTTTTCGCATCAAAATTATTTGAGCTAAATAAAAATGTTAATAAATTTTCAATAATACAATTACATTTATCAAACATAAATTAACGATTTTAAAAACAAAAAATTTTTTATTTAAAAAAGTAAGGAAAAAGTATTATATAAAAAAATTTCTTTCTCTTTTATTTATTAAAAAAAATAAGCATTTTTTATTTGCTTCCCCAATGCTTATTTTTGGTAAAATTACACAATACCATGGCATGATTTTCTCTTTATTTATTAAAAAAAAATAAGCAATATTAATTTGCTTCCCTCATGTATATTATTTTTAACGTAGTAAAAATAATAGTAACCTTTTTAACGTAGTAAAAATAATATTAATCTTTTTATCATTATAAGAATTATATTAATCTTTTTAACATAAAAATATTAATTTTTTTAACGAAGTCAGTTTAGTTATTTAGCATAGTACAAAGATTATATTAAGTTTATTTAAAAATTTTGTAAGAAAAATTTCAAGGAAAGCAATGCTTCCCTTGCTTCTATGGACGCTTCGTCATTGGTAAATATTTATACGAGCCTTACTCTCATTGCATTAATAAGGTTTGGTTGTTGTTTAGCAAATTGCCATATGTTGACCAATGATATTCATATATATGTCATTATGTTGAGTGACATCATATATAATAGCCCTTTACATAATTTTCAAACATTCATTAATCACAGCATCAAAAGGATAATGTTTCGTTTATCAGCTTTTGAAAATGCTTTAGGTAAAATGATTATTAATCACTCATACTATATTTTTGTAGAAAAGGCAACTAGTAACATGCTATTAGAACCTGATTGGAATTCTATCATGCAGATATGTGATATGATTAGGCAAAAAGATATAACGTAACATATATTAAACATCTAATATATAATAAGTTTAATAGACCTAAAACAGCGATGCAAGCTATTAAAAGAAAGTTATTTTCAACAAACCCAAATGTAATTTTATATACCCTACAAGTACCTTAAAGTATTACCTTTATTTTATTTACAATATTTATTTTATAGGTACTTGAATCTGTTGTAAAAAATTGTGGAATAAGTATACATAAAGAGGTTGCTACAAAGGAATTTATGATAGATTTTCGGGAAGTTCTGAAGGTTTTTCACACACATTTATTTATTGAAATAAAATCCCATTAATAGGAAACAACCAATGAACAAATCAGACAAAAAGTTCTTGAATTGATTCAAATTTGGTCCCATGCTTTTAGAAATGAACCTAATTATCATATAGTTAAAGATACCTATGTATTAATGAAAATGGAAGGTATATATTAATATATACTAATTTAAATTATTTATGACCAAAAATGTATTACTTAGAGAGTTTGGTAATGGGGCACTAAATATCTCTTTTATTATATATAAAGTATATATATTCTACAGAGACCTGGATCAGATAAAGCCTGACACATCTGCACCGGCTATTTGGGAGTTCATAAATTATATAAAAATGAACCCTAATTTTTTTTACAAAACTTGAGCCAGAAACAATTTTAGAAAATGAATTTAAATTATATGAATTAGGCCTTTAAAAAATTATAAGTAACATAACGCTCTATAAAATTTTCCAGATCCATTTTTAATATGGGGAATGGACACACTATGAATATATATATCATTTTTAATGAGATTGACTTGACGGAACGGAAGTAAAAAATGGATCCATCTCCACTTTGAATGCAGCCTTAAACAGTTGTAAATCGTCTCTGATATAGACCCCACCCCCACCACAAAATAATTCTTATATAATTTTTCACCATTTATTAAAAATTTTAAACTCTAATGTTTTATTATTTAATAGGTTATAATTTTCCAATGTTAAAAGAGAATGATGCCATGTTTATGACAGAAACTCCTCCTGATTGGATTGACGGAGAAACTTGTTATAATTGCAAAACGACATTTACATTAGTTCAAAGAAAGGTTTTTTATCTTCAATATTAATTAATTATACAAATATCCATGATTTTGAATTAAAAAAAATTAATTAAATGGAAGGGTTGGCTACAGAGCTCTCTAAATCTTCCTAAGTCATTGTAACCCATTCATCCATAACTGAAATTTTAAATATATACTGACTATACATTGATGGGCACCATGATTGATTCATATCCTGTGTTAGAGAGCCCAGGTAGCCTATACCATACCATTTTCTCTGATTAACTTATAATATATACTAAAATAATAGTTAATTTTTTAAATTGTATTTAGCATCATTGTAGATGTTGTGGACAAGTTTTCTGTCAAAAATGTTCATCCAAGTCCTCGATCATACCTAAATTTGGAATCGAGAGAGAAGTTAGGGTATGTGATGATTGCTTTGTTGCTAATAACAAAAATATAAATGTGGCTAATTCTTTAGAACTAGATCATGAATCCACTAAAGAAACTCTGTATGATGATGATTATCAAGATTTTTCACACTATGATACCATACCAATTAATAAAGTAAGTTCAGTTTAATGCTTAAAATAAAATAGATATGGTAGAGTGGACTTCATTAAAATTAAATTATTTATTTAACATTAAAATTGGAGACTTAAAGTTGAAACTTAAATAAATCCAGGACAAAAATACTCCACATTTTTTAAGCATTTTAATTTTTCTAAAAATTGTGATATTTTGGTGTCATTTTGTCCATGGGTATTTTTGTATTTTTGTCTGGGTCTTTTTGAACAGGACATCTTTCTGGAATTCATTTTAAATATATACCAATTAACTTGAGTTATACATCTACAAATAGAAAATTTTTAATCATGAAAATATCCTAAAATTTAACCATGAAAGGAAATATTATAGCAGTTATTAGGAAGAGAGTCAATTATATTAGGAAAAATGGCAAATAAATTTCAAACAAAATAAGTCAGAGAAATAGTCAGGAAAAAATCCTTATATTCGAAAAAGGAGTATCTCTTATGATTGGCATTTCTCTCTTTTTTTAAATATATTAACTTGTTTTTGGTATTATGTTCAATTTAAAAACAAAAATCATGTTCTGTCTAAAATTGATTTTTAGAAATGAGGCCAAGGAGGTTAGTTAAATACTTTTAATAGTAATACCTGGAGGATTCATACGATATAAATATTAATAGAAACATAGTTTAAAAAGAAAACAAAGTATGGTAGGTAAATAAAATTTTAAGTTTAGGAATGAATCGAAGTAAAAAAAATCAGCTCTTAAAAAATGTCTGATTCTGGGGCTCGGACCAATCCGTTAGGAATCCCTATTATTGTAGTTACTAATTATTTTTTCTCATTTTTGTAGAATACGAAAAATGGCCCGTCGCACAATGTTCCTACGAATGATAAATCTTCACTGCCCTTTGAATACCTAAACAGTCCTTTGAGTAAGCAAAGTCAAGAGCCACCCAAAAAGACTGAAATTGAGGAGAGGGAGGAAATCGAATTAGCGCTCGCGCTGTCAGCTAGCGAAGCGGAATCAAATTTGGCTAAAGCTGCTAAGGTTGTTCCTTATTTTAATAAGTTAAATTTCCACAAAGATGTGGTGTATATGAGAAATAGGCGCAACGAGTCGCCATTTTAATAATGAAAAAGTCATTGTTAGTCAAGTGCTTCTTCATTTTATTCACTTGCCAAAATACATATATTTTTTTAATTTACTATTTTTGGAGAATTAATATCTTGTTCTGCCTAAAATATTACTCCCTTTTTTTAGTCTAATATATTCGATATCGGAATAATATTATTTTGTGTTTAAACGTTATTATTTAAAAATAATGTGACCTGGTACTTTATTAAGAAAAAAATGGCGATTCATCCCACAAACTATTATAAAATTGCGTGTAATATTAAGACACGCGTGTTCGGTTAAAAAAATCCTATGCTTTATATTAACTAAGTTTTTCTGAATTTTTTTAATACCGAATGTATATTTCCAAATTAATTAAATATTATATTAATCAACGTTACGTCAAATAATAAATAGGCCTCAAAATATCTGTATTTGGGCGTTGGTCCGACTTCAAATATCGACGATCGACAACAACAAAATAGGGTATGTGTTTTAAAAATTTCGTCTTTATGATTTTTGGCTCCTATATATTTAAAAATTTTACAAATGTTTATCTATTGTATACTCCTCATTTATTTTTTAAAAAAATCTTAAGTTTATTTATTTTGAAAGAAATATATATTTTAATCGCCATTTTTTAATTTACTTTCTGGTCATTATCATTTAAACGATTCAATTGATTCGCTTATCAGACGCAAGCTACGAATAAAAACACCTCGAATTATCACAATGCTCCATCCAGCAGTTATTATTCATCCGTTGAAAATGATATGGAGAATGAACTGGCACGTTATTTGGATCGGGATTATTGGGAAATTAAACAGAAACAACTCTCCATGAAGTCCCAACCTCCTGGTTTTATTTTTGTATTTTTTTTCTTATCAATATTGTTTATCAGATCAAGCTTTTTTTCCTCCTTCTTTTGTAGATCATTTTTTTTATTAGTCATATGTTTAAGTTCATTTATAGTCAGCATGATTCGCTCAAGCGACGCGAAATTATTCGCTACATAATTTAGATAATCAAGCCAATAATACGTTTAATTGATAAATACTGGGCCTAATGATGGAAATGCGATAGCTTGTTAACATATATTTCGTATTATCGATGTGATGAATCAGCTGTGATTCTAGCAATTCATTTTGCATTACTTGGTAGCCAATTGCGCTTTCCATAAATGCAGCATAAGACCTAGGCGGTAGCATATGAGCTTTCCAATAGGATTTGAAATTTAACATTTGAAACTCTCGATCGTTCATATGCTCCAGGTAAAATTCAGAACCTAGAAAGATTAAGGTTTATTTTCAGTGATGCAACTGGTACCGATACTAATGGTTTTAATTTAACACTTAAAAAAAGGTAATATTAGCAATAATATAACTTTGCCATCAGCTCCGGAAGCAATGACTAACACTAATTCATGCCCATCCCCGACTCTCTCTAACATATCAAGCTTTGTGTCTATCTCCAATTATCAGCCTAATTGGAACTCTAATAATGACGCCATTTCTAATGCTAAAAGTGTTTTTCCGAAGCAAACTAACGCTTCCCTAGCTCAACCCAATTTCAATAATAATTATGGAGGGCTGGCTTACGAAGTATTAAGATTATTAGTTTTTTTTATATTTTAAATACATGTCATTACATATATATTTTAAATTTCCATTCTTCCGATTTTAGTTCGGATTGATCCTAAGCTACATTTCATACTAAAACTGAAATTGAATTTATTAGCGCCATTTTTGGATTATTTTTGCACGGCCCAACCCGGATTTTTTTTTCAGCCCAGCCCAGTCCGAGTTTTATATTTTCAGGCCCAGCCTGGATTTTTTTTAAAATAGATAATTTTTAATTTTATAGCTAATAATGGCGATTAAAATATTTGGTTATAAAATATACCGCCCGGTCCGGGTATTAAAAAAAATTAAAGCCTCCAGGTATTATAAAAAAAATCAGGCCAGGCCCGGTTATATTTAAAAAAATAAAAATCCAGGGCAGTCTTAGGGCCGGGTCTGCAGGTCTTGATGATTAGGTGTCGTATTCTTTGTTAATCCATAATATAAAATTTATTTAAAAATATTTCATAGTTTTTGTAATGGCATAATTATATGGATTTCTATGTATGCTTAATTTCGTAATAAGATTTTATTTTGAGTATTAAAATAAAAAATTATTAGACATTTCACGTTAAATCTCCTAGTTATTCTTTCAAATCATACGCTCACTTATTATTTATAAATTTGATTTTAAAAATAAATTAAATAACTAAATTTTTACGAATCAATTTCATATAAATTTTTATTCGAAATAAGAACAAGGTTTAGAAAACGATATTTTTGGGGTATTGCGGACACCAAAATTTATTAAATATTAAACCCGTTAAATCTCTAACCCATATTTTGGCGGTTTTAACTCTTTCTTTCTGCAAGGGATCGATTTAAAAAAAAAATGTCATGCCATCTGTTAGAGTTGGCACGAATAAATTTTTTTTAAATCAAATTTTATAATAGAATAAAAATTGTGAAAATAACTTACGATAAAAAGGTTTTTTAATTGAGCATAGATTCATTTTATTACATTGACATTCTTGAAAACTTTATAAGACTTAAACTCCTAATGAGCCAATAGGGCCTAAATTATGGGGGGGGGGGAAGGTTGTTTGGTACTGTTGACAAGCGGAGATGTTAGCTTGACTTGTACGAGGAATTAGTCGGAATTTAGTTCAATATAAAGAATTTAATTTAAATATAAGATTTTAAAATGATTATTTATTATAAAAAAGTTAACTGATCAAAAATAATATATCTTCGTTTTTTAGTAAATCCATTATCTAAAATTGTATAACATAAAATCACGTTATCCAAATTACAACATATATATGTTATTACAATATAATATATCGTTACTAAAAAACGATCGCCTTAAGCCTTCTAAAATAATAAAGTTTATTAAAATATAAAGTTACAAACATGTAACAGGTAGGTGACTATTTTTTTCAATTTTTTGCCCTTGAGAGTTGTTAGAAAATGATTATGCGGAATGGTCCACACAAGTATAATTCCATGCAGTGGTATAACTTTCCAAGGAATAGAGTTACCCCATCGGGTTCGGTCTAGTTTGGTTGTCGAGGATGAGATCAGAAATGAATAATTTTTTTACATTTCCTTAGTAAACAACAATCTTAAAATAATTTTCGTATTATTTCAAACAAAATTTTAAATAAAAATTTATGATAATAAAATTTAGTGATTAATTCAAAACTTACAAGCAAAGTTTAGTAAAAGAAAAATGTTTTCGGATGAAAAAAAACTACTAGAAAATAAAAACAAAAAAATGAATTGATTTAAATCAATTTAATATAATCTACAACCTAGTGGTTAGATTTGAGCCGATTTTTAAAAACGGCCCGATATTTTAGTCAGAAAAATATTTCCTATGCTTCGAGATTTTATTAAGGGATGTTCAAATCTCTGTGCCCTCTATTAGCAATATCTTAAGGCTTGAATAATATTTTTCTGGACAAAATATTGAGTTATCCGTGTTTAAAAAACCGGATAACCCGACCATTAGGTTTATAAAATAGATAAAATTATATTTCGATTCATAGAATATAAATATATTTAAAATTAATTTTTAGTTTGAAGTTTTGTTTGCTAATTAAGTTTTGAACAAGAAATGGAGTTAGAATTTAAATATTTAATAATATTAATCAAATGACTAAATTATTTTGTTACAATTTGATTTCCTAATTGCCATTGACTACTTAGTGCTTATAAATTGAATTCTTTTCCTTTTGGGTTCTTCTTCTAATTATATTTTTTTAACGTAACGTGCAAATTGGTAAACTTTTTTTGCATTAAAAATCGCAAGAGTTTGTTTTTTTAATATTATTTTTGAAACAATAGGATTGACGTGGAAATTGGTAATTTTTGCATTGAAAAAATATGACCTAAAATTATCGAAGCGTTGTATAGAAAAATAGTGCTAAACGCTGCTGCCCATTTGTTAACTATTAGCTCCACAATAATTCTCCAGCTCATACTATTTTAACTTATCTAATCCATCTCCCACAAAAAATCTTACAGAAACTACAATCTCATAATAACTCCATCTCGACGTATAAAGACATTGAAGAATTTTCCGATGCCCTTCAAAATGGGATAAACATTTTCGTCAAAAGGATGCAGAGTAACGCTTCTCGTAACAGATCTATCGTCAACGACAGTTCCGTGCAAACACTATTTGTTACGCTTAGTCAGTTGCAACCTAAGTTATGCGATAAAATACGGATTCAAGAGGATAAGCGAAGTTTATAAATTTTCCATAGTGTTGTTAAAAGGCTAGCTCAATATTGTCTAGAAAAAAATATTACACGAGTCTGGAGATATTGTTCATAGATAGCAAAGGTTTGGACATCTATTAGTAAAATCTCGAGGTTTAGGCAATATTTTGGGCGAAATGTGAAGTTATCCATTTTTAAAAATCGGTTTAAATTGAGCCATTTCACAACACTAATTTGCCCAAAATAAATTAAAGAATTTATTTGTCGAAAAAATGTATCTTTAATGGAACACTTTAATACACAACCGGCGATATATCTTGGGATATGAGATCCATTGGGGATTCAGAATCTCGCAATTTTTAATCATTTAACTGAGGGCAGTTTTTTAAATTTGAAAATACCAGATTTGACCGGAATTATAATTCAGCATATCGTCATCCTCGCTGCTAGACCTCGTAAGTAGCTTCTTTTTTTAAAAAAAAAATGTTCAGGCGGAAGAAAAAATATTTTTGAATAATCCTATTTTAATAGAAAATATTTTTGATAATGAGATTTTAAAAAGAACATGTTTCATTATTATTAAAGCTTTATATAATTTTATGAGTGTGCCTCATAAATATTTTTTATTATTAAAATATGGACACTTTTAGAGATGTTCATATGTATCCCGATTTGATAAAAATCCTGTTTTTAATCATTACAAAGATTTGAGCCTTTAGGTAGATAATAGAGAACCTATAAAACACAACTTTCTCCAAAAAAAATTATGAAAAATGTTACGAGGTTTTGCAGTGACGGATCCGATATATGTAAATTTCAGACCTTTTTTATCGTGAATTTCAGATATTTTTACCGTAAATTTTTTAAAATATACTTTTATATAAATTTTTGAAAAAAATACACCAAAATTCATTAAATTTATCTCGGTTGTCTCAATTCATGTTTGCCAATCTACTATAATAAATGGATTGTCAAAATTAAAATAAAAAGAATTGATATGGAAATAACTTTTAAATTTCCAATTTACTTCACATAAGCTGATTTAATATAAAATTAAAAGTACTTTTATTTTACAACTTTAAGACAATTTGGAATCTTTGCAAGACAAAATATCTCAAATAAAGGATGCTAGAGCCGCCTTAAATGCACTTAGGGAAGATTTCAGGGAGAGAGAGAGAAAGGAAGCTGAAGAGATTGAAAGACAAAAGAAACTGCAAATGTCTCAAAAATTACAATTGATGAGGATACAAAAACAAGTTTATATACTTTTTAAATAGGATTTAAAACTTGAATTAAAGTTCTGCGAGGTCGTAACATAATAAATAATAGAATAAAATAGGATAGCATTATAATATTATCAGATTTTCTATATTTAAATATAATTAGAGAATGAATATTCATTTGAATTATTTAAGTCCGTCGTTGTTATTAAAAGGAATTATCCCGCCAGCACATTTGGGCAATTTGTTACCTTCCCCCCCTCCCGATGTTTAAAAAATGATGACTAGTAAATGAATATTATTTTATTTTCTAGGATAAGATTTTAACAATTTTTAAAAGCTCTTGTTTTATTTATTTTTTAAAAAAAAATTAAATATTCAATCACCAAAAATTCCTAAATTACTGATCATCTTGGGATGAACAGTAGTATTATATATATCATCGCCTGAAAAATAGGTTATTTCCATATCCATTTTTTGTCAAAAATGGCATTTTTACATAAATCTATTTTTTAATAAAATCCATAATATTTACAAATAGTCCAAATGATAGCCAATATTGATATAATTGGATAGTCGAGTCCAACCTTCGGGGGGGGGGGGGGGGTCGGCGGAGTTTGATGGTCCGGGATTGACAATGGGACTGGGGAACCGGACTTAGTGGGCATTTTTGTCATCGTACTCAAGTCCAGACGCGGGTCACTCAGAATGAAGTAAACCACCTCATATTCAAGCACGGTTATATAGCATAAAAGAGAATTTTATTTAGTTAAGTAAGAATAGTCTTCGAAATAATTACAATCCAAATAAAATACATTAAAGTAATATCTATAATCGTTACATAAGAAGTAAAAAGAAGAAGATAATAAATTATTTCATGATCTATAATTCTTTTTAGGGGGTCATTATATACTATACATTTTCCAACAAAACAATAAAAAAATCTATCTACGAATTGTTAAAATATTTTTTCATGTAATGGTCAATCTCGAAACTGGCTAGGACAATTTTTAAGTGGATAAAATATAAAAACAGGTTTTGTCTATAAAATATGATTTGAAGACTAAATAAAGTATAATACTGTTTTTAGTGGAAACAAAACAAAAAAGGAACATTTCTTTTATGTACTAATAAACACAACACTCCTCTTAGCTTAACTTCTACTACCGCCGCACCGCCAAATCAGGGTGGATTTCAGGCCTAAATAAAAATTTTTTATTAAACAACCAAAAAGAAAGAATGGCATACACCGCCGCCGAATCAGAGCGGATTTAATTCTTACCTTATCCATTAAAAAAAATTTAAAAAAATCGAATGGCCTTCGCCATGCCGCTGAACTAGAGCGGTGTTTAGCCCTAAGTTCATTTTCTTAGACTCACAAAACATCAAACAAAAATAAGCGGCATAGCCGCTCCACGGTGTCAGGACGGATTTTAATTAATCCTAAGTTAATTTAATTAAACACATAGTCAATAACCAAAAAAAATTAACGGCATACGCCACTCAAGCCGGTTCAGAGCGACTATAATTTCTACCTTAATTCTATATAAAAAAAAATAACACGGCCCTCGCGGAGCCGGATCAGGGTGGATTTATATCTAAGATAATTTAATTTTTTTAAAAAAATGTAAAGTACATAAAAAATAGAGGGGGGGGGGGTGAGCGAGGGGATAAATTAGTTTTAAAAAAGGTACATAAATAGAAAAGGGGGAGAGGGAATAAATTATTCCAAAAGGGGGGAAAAAGAAACGGAGTTTTGTTAGATTACCACTCTCCTCCCCGTTTAAATACTGCTACCCTGGGGAGAGGTTAAACAATCTGGCAGGTGCCTTCTGGCCATTTGGAATAGGCGTCTACCAGAATTAGCCAATGTACGTTGTGTAGTGGTCCTGCAAGGTCGACGCGTACCATTTCTCCTACAGTGTGGGCCACGGGCCAGTTGTGGAATAGTATCCATGGGGCATTGAATTGTTGACAACGGTCGCACGTTTCCTGATTTTTGTGATATCCCTGTTTAATTGGGACCACCAGACATACTTCCTGGCTGTTTCTTTTATTCGTACAATTCCCGGGTGTCCACTTATGGGCCGTAAGGTTTGTAGAATGATTAATCTGGTTCCCCGGACAATTATGTCTCCGTCTATCTACAATTAGTTCTATATTCCAAATTTTTTGTAATTCGGTGGTTGTTATCTTTGGGTGCCAGTCATTTCGTATGTTTTCTTTGATTTGTGATAATTCAGGGTCTTGCATGGTTCTGGATTTTATTTTATCTCGAGTAAAGGGTAGGGCTTTAATTTGGGTTTGTATAATTTGGTTTATTTCGGTTTCGTCTTGGTCGGCGAGCAGTGGTCGGGATAGTGCGTCGGCATTCATATTTGATGCTCCTGTTTTGTAGCAGAATTGAAATCTAATTGTCGATAGACGGAGATAATTGTCCTGGGAACCAGATTAATCATTCCACAAACCTTACGACCCACAATATTGCAAGAAATTCACAGTGGACACCCGGGAATTGTACGAATAAAAGAAACAGTTCGGAAGTATGTCTGGTATTAAACAGGGATATCACAAAAATCAGGAAACGTGCGACCGTTGTCAACAATTCAAAGAAAACTCCCCACGGATACTATTCCCCAATTAGCTCGTCGCCCACACCGTAAGAGAAATGGTGCGCGTGGACCTTGCAGGACCACTACACAACTTACATTGGCGAATTCTGGTAGATGCCTATTCCAAATGGCCAGAAAGCACCGCCAGATCGTTTAACCCCTCCCCAGGGTAGCAGTATTTAAGCAGGGAGGAGAGTAATTCCGTTTCTTTCTTTAGTTGGACAGAGTCCAACCTTTGGGGAAGGGGAGGAATCGGCGGAGTTCGATGGTCAGGGATTGTCGGAGAATAGGACTGGGGAACCGTACTTAGCGGGCATTGTTGTCATCGTACTCAAGTCCAGTGAAGTAAACCACCTCATATTCAAGCACGGATATATAGCATAAAAGAGAATATTTTTTTTAGTTAAGAATAGTCGCTTTGAAATAAGTACAATCCATATAAAATACAGATAATAAATTAATTCATGATCTATAATTCTTTTTAGGGGGTCCTTATATTACTATACATTTTCCAACAAAACGATTTTAAAAAATATATCGCCGTATTGTTATATTTTTTCATGCGGCTAGGACCTGTTTTAAGTGAATAAAATATAAAAACAGGCTTTGTCTATAAATTACGATTCGGGTAAGACTAAATAAAGTATAATACTGTTTTGAGTGGGAACAAAACAAAAGAAACATATTTCTTTTATAGTAAACTCAACAAATATAACGTTAACAATCCTATTGAAAATATTAGAAACTTAATTATTAAAATTGCTCTCCTGTAAAATTATTTAAAGAGGAGATGGAATAATCTAATTCTCAGGCGATGATATATACTGTTCATATCCATCCAGGTGTAGGCCGACTCCACAGGACTCTAAGATGCATGTAGGATAGCAAGGTTTACCTCGTAAATGTTGGAATTATGAAGTAACTTGGTTTATAATAATGGCACTCAACTATAGAGTATCAGTAATTGTTATAGAGTTCGCTGATTGGCACTAATTTAACCTACTGTTTGGGTCCATCTTAGTATAGATAGCGGTACCTCAATAACTGAAAAATTAATATTATAAAGAAAAGGTAGAAGTAGATATAGAGGTAATTGATGATTCCTTGGTAAAAAGCTTAAGATATATAATTACTAAATATATCTGAAGTTAGTTAAAAAAAATTGTTGTATTTTTGGAGATTATATTTTGTGATGAATTCTAAAAGAATTTTTTTTACGGCGTAATGTTTTCGGTTAGCCTTACTTTTTTCTGGATTTATAATCTCTGCTTAAGACCTGCAAATTTAAAATATTTTTAGCACAAGCTCGCCCGCAGCATAGCAAAATTTTTAAACTTAGTCCCGGACCGATATTTTTTTAAATGTTAATAAGAGAAGAATTTTACTCAAAATATTTATTTTATTCTCTATTTTAACGTTGTGCGTTAAATTTAAATATTCAGCAATAACTTAATAATATATATTTCCCACCTGATTTTTTTTATACTTTTCTTCTTTTTTAAATTGTGTCATCAATCAGGCGAAATAATAAGAATAGAAGTAAATATAAGATTAATACTTTTCAGACCACGCACTAAGACTATATTTTATTGACTATTTACGGGCAGGCCCCCAAGACTGTAATATCTGCTAGCTTTGATTATTTTCATTGTTTTCGAGTAGTATTTTCTCTTTTAAATCTCATCATATCTTAAAATTCTCAATAATATTTGGTAAACATTATTAGATCAAAAAAAAATTATAATTTATTTATTCAAATTTAAAAACAGGAATATTTAGAATACCAACGACAAATCACTCTTCAAAGAATGGGCGAACACCAAAAAATGAATGTTCCTATAAATTATCCATATCAAAATAATTTTGGAAACCAACCTTTTAATCAGCAATATAGTAACTTTTCTCAACATGCCCAAGCTATGAATCCTATGATTGGAGGTGTTAATACATTTCCTAATTCGCAACCAGTTCCGGTCATGAATAATCAGTAAAAAAATGGACAAATGAAACATTTTTTGAAAATCAAGTCTAGTTTTTCGAATGTCAATATTCTTATGATAATGATAATTTTATTTAGAAATTTAAATTAATACTCCTTTACTTTAATAATTCACATTTTAGATGGATCGGTAATACTAATATGGCTTACCAACCTAACACTGTTCCCTCCAACAAAGATGATGGACTTGCAAACAACGATCAACCCCAGTTCTCTTATATGAATAATAATCAATTTTACCCCACTCAACACCGTAAAATATAATATTTTTGTAATAAGAAATATATTTAAAAAATATATAAATAGAAGGAAATCCTCCCTTGTATTTTAATTATCCGCCTAATGATAACTCAACCTTGAGCTCCCAACTTAATATGGTACAAAATCCACAAACTTTACAGTATGCTACCAATTTAAATCAAAATGTAGGAAATCAACCAACCGGCAACAATAACTATGCTCATTATCAACAACAGCAACCAGTTGATCAAATGATTAATCCTTGGATGCATGCACAACCTAACCCCGCTTTAGCTTATAATATGCAAAGTATGCTTAATAATTTACAATGAAATATGAAAAATAATTTAAATTTAATTCTTTAAGGCATGAATCAAGCCTTACCCATATTTCAACAACCCACTCAATTACCCGTAACTGAAAATCATAATGGTCCCTTTTTCTCGGTAGATTCAAAATCTATTATTAAGGAATCAGGACCTCAATTAAATGTCTCCCTTGAAAATTCTTCTAAGCTTAAAGGAGAGCATTTAAACATTTCTCTACCAATCGAAAATACGAAATCGGAGACTAAAGCGTCGCAAAATCCGCAAGAAGATACCAGTCCTCAGTTAATTAGTTTTGATTAATATTTAATATAAACGATATAATAATCTTGACAACGTTTTTTTGATATGTAAAAGCCCAAATATTTGTTTGTATTTTATTATATTTAAAATATTATATCTCATTACATTATACTATTTTTTAATTTGTTTAACTTATTACCCTATAAATATTTTATATCATCTACGTTTCATTTTATTTTAAATATAAATATAATGATGTTGCAATGATAAAATAAATTTAAACATATTGGTTTAAATATAATAGCTAAAGAATATGAAATCATCGATAATACAAAACAATTTTTTTTATATATTAAATTTAATTTAAAAAAAAGTTTTATAAAAAATATAATATATTAACTCCCACATTCTTCGGCCAAGATAAAATATTTGTTAGCCAGATTTCCTTTCATATTTTTCATGGCATATTCGGCTGCTTTATTGTAACATTCGGCTTTATGACATATTTATTTTGACGACAATATAAAGAATAAATTTAAAAATTCATGCTCAGTAAAATATTCTTTCATCGAGCTAAACCCTTCTTTTGAGCGCATAAAAAGTTGGCTGATGTTGAATTAACACGCGCATTTTATTTTATTTTTAAGTTGAAGTCTTAAAATTTTTATATTTAAATATATTGTTCATAAAACATGGGTGTTTATAACGTTCGTTTCCCATTTATTGATGATATTATAATAATATTTTGTAAACGCATAAATCTTCATTTCATTCTCAGAATAAACTTTATCTTTTAATTTTAGATTTAAAAAAGCTAATCTAGTAAAGATCTCGTGTAATAAATTTAAAAAAATACTTTGAATGCATTTTTCTAAACCCAAATTAACAATGCAACTCTTAATATAGCATAGTATATGTATCCACAAAAAATCAACTTAAAATAATAACATTCTTGCTTTTGTAATTTTTAATTTTATGTTTCAAATTACTAGTACCCAAACCATCGCTCGAATAGATTGAGATATTTGTCTTCGCAGGCAATTTAAAAAAATGAGTGACGCGAATACGCACATTTTGAATAATGCTTTTTTTATTGACGCGCGAATATTTGAGACGTCTCACGTCTGTTTATTTTGTTTACAAAAATTTACGGAATAAAATGTATACTCATTTTTAATTGCTAACGAGGACAAAGGCTAAAGGTCTATTTTGTAAAAAAAAGCTCAATAACTATTTTTGCATCTAAAAATTTGTAGTAGAATTTTGAAAATAAAGTTAATCTTTAGGGCTTCGGGCATTAGCAGTAAAATAAATAAAATCAAGCTTGGATCTAGTTTAAAAATTAAAATCATTATTAGTTTCGATATCATATAGGTTAACGAGCTATCATATAAAGGAAAAATTTATGAAATAAAATAATAACCAGCAAGTGTTAGGTTTTGGCTCTCGTCGATAAAGTAATCTTTGTATAATTTTGCCATGTCAGCGTAGAGCAGATATATAGGTTGTTCCATCGAGACAACGTCCGAAAAATTATTTAGGGCGTTTTCCTCGCATTCTATGGCTTTATTATACCAATGGAGAGATTTCTTAATGGATGTTTGGCTGATATTCATAAAAAATAAAAATGACCAAATTTTTAGAAGGAATAAAAGCAAAATTTTCAATTCTTATAATGGACAATATTAAAATATAATATTTTAATAAACTTTTCGATATCAGTTTGGAAAGCTTTGGCCAAATGGAGCATAGCACACCTATCCCCTAATATAGCTGCTTCTTCCATATACTTGTTACCTTGTTCTACCTTATGTATGTCAGTTTTCTTTTTTAAAAATATAATATTGATAAATTTGATATTTCATATATACATTTTAAGTAGTCTTCTGAGTAAGGAATGCCATTTATTTGAAAAAGTGGAGCCAATATACAAATTAATTTTTGAAATTGAACTCAAAAAATTTTAACAAAATTATATTACGTAAATAACCGTCCATAAATATTATATATCAAATTGATAGCCAAAAGCGTAATACATCAACAATCCTATAATCCTGCAACGTATCCCTTGGCATATCGAGGTAAATTTTTGCTAGGGCTAAGCAAGCTTCGGCGATTTGACACTTGGCCGCTAATCTTAGATGATAAAAAGCGGATTCTAGGTCTGACAATAAGCTTTGGTTTTTATCGGCAAGAAATCTACCGTTTTCATGACATCTACATAGGTCCAAATGAACCTTTTTTAAAAAATTTTTATTTATTGTCATTAAGAATAAATGTCAGCAGGCCCGGCCCCTATTTTGATTTCTTCAAATATACCGGAATCGGTTCTAAAAAAAATTTAAAATTCTGGCCAGACCGAGCCGTATTTTAAATTTCTATTATTATCTATAAAAATTAAAATAAATATAATATATTTAAAAAAAAATCCGGGCTAGCCTGAAAATATAAAGCACAAGCAGGGCCGATCCGAAATTTTTTTTTAAAAAAAATTCTTGGTAATAACTTCGAACCATTATACCTCCCCCAAGTTAGTCAAACATCTAAAAAATTCTAAAACTAAGTTTCAACCTTATACTAATGTGGGACTTTTTCTTAAAAATTCTAGAATATTTATTTAAAATAATAGATCTATGAGAGGGGGGGATATTAACTTTATATATTTTAATTTTGTTAGAACTTTTCCTAGGATAGAAGTCTCGGTATACCGAAAGAGTGGATCGCTAAACTCATTATCCAACACTATTAGGTCAATTTCGTTTTCGACGCACGAGGGTCTATGCCTCAGACGAGTTTGATGAAATAATATTTCGCTCTTTTGTTTTGTTTTTTTAAAGGTATTATAATAATTTGACTTTAAAATAAAATACGGAAATATATCTTGTTTTAGAAATCATAATGGTCAATCATTTGAACAAAATAGTTCTCAACACACTTAAAAATGTTTATAAAATTTTTTTAAAACTATTTTAGCAAGTTGATTGTAGACGATATATCAGTATTTGTATAATTTAAAAAATATACTCCTTTAAAGTAAATCTGACAGGATAAAATATTTAAATTTTATTTTACTTCGATTTTCTGATATTCTTCAAGAGTATTGCCATCTAATTTATGCGTTTAAAAGCCAAAAAATATTCGTATAAATATTGCCAGTCGTGTAATTCATTTTTACTGCTTCCTTAAATTTTCATTATTCTAAATTACTTTCCTTTACAGCTAGTTCTATTTTCTCTGCTATTTCTATGAAATTAAGTATTTTATAGTGACTTCGGTAAATTTGGCACAGGGTTATAATATATAATTGTCGACCATATAACTCGCTGACCCAAATCTTCCTTTATTTTGGCATTCTAACAGGAACTCTTTCTATGCTTATTCTTGGTATGTATGATTTCATCCCAAAAATTTAGTTTTACTAGTTTCGTGATTCGGATGAATACTGATTTTAATGTCTAATAATTGAGATTGTTTCGGACTAACGCAGATTTCATGATCACCCTTTATTTGCGTCTTTGAATCCTTAATTGATATTATGTGTACAATATTTTTTCAAAATAGCTGCATAAATCTAAATTTTTTTAAAAATATAAAATAATTCACCCACCATCTTAGTGATACAAAATCGTTCCACTTGAGCCCGTTTTTATCCAGAAAAATATTGTCCAAGGCTGAGATTTTGCTTACATATGGTATAAAGGTTTGATCATCTATTAGCTAAATCTCGAGGTTTAGCCAATATTTTTATGGTTAAATATTGAGTTAGCCATTTTTAAAAATCGACGCAAATGGAGTAATTTTGCATCACTACAGCTTAGCATAACCAAAAGAGAGGAGAGTGTTTTTCAGAAATTATACTTCGCAAGTCATTTTAATTTTAGTATTTATATTAAAATTTAATTGAAAACTGCAAAAAAGTGATTTTAGAAAAGAGGAGATAGATTTTATAGTCAATTTTAGTATAATAAGAGTGAAAAAAGGTTGTTTTAAGGGTTCTAACATTATGGGTAAAAATAAACAGTTATAAAAATATTTTTAAACCTTGATTTTCAAAATTTTAACCAATGTTGTTTGTAGATAGAATGTAGCCCTCTATATAAAGTACTAAACCCGGAAACTAACTCCATAATATATTTGGCATTATAGTTCTAAAAATGTCTTTTTTCGCCAAAAATATTTGTTTGCACTTTACTTTTGACAAATTCTGTATTATAAAATAGCCTATAACTTTATAATAACAATTATTCTGTTGATAAAATATCATTGGAGGGGGGGGGGGGTAATGCTAGCGGTTAAATTTGTCAATTTTCTTTTATCCAACCAAGTAGATCATAGGCAGAATGAAAAGGAGTATTTTTAATACTAATTTTAATAAGAGAATAGAATAAAGGTTAGGATAAAGTTATCCAGAAAGGACCTGGGATAAAATGGTTTAAGGAATAAAATAATATATATAAGGAGGTAATATATAAAGTAAAGAGGGGAGAGATAGTTTAAAGTAATAAGGTGAGAGGTAGTGTTGTTAAACGGCTCGTTTGAGATATTTTTTAAAAACGGTTAACTCAATATTTTAGCCAAAAAAATATTGAGTAAGCTTTGAGATTTAGATAATATATGTTTAGACCTTTGTTCCTTTTATGAACAAGATCTCCAGACTTGCGTAATATTTTTCAGGATGAATTGAGTTAGCAGTTTATTAAAATCGGCTCAAAACGAGTTGCTTAATACTAGTGAGGGTACAACGTATGACTGAGTTTTTTTAGGTAGGGGCAAAGAGGGAGGTGGGCGCAAGATAAAATTTAATAAATTTTTTTTATCAATTCATAAAAAAATTTAAAAATTCCATCCAAACAACTTTTATTCCAACTTTCACATCTTCTCCATCTTTTTATTTGATTATATTTTTATACCCTTCGTTCTCTATAACATAAAATCGTGTTTTATACTAATTAATTACCTTCATGGAACAAACAAATTTTCGGTGTTCTGACAATTCTCGGGGAGAAAGATCAAATTGGGAAAGCTTGAGACTTTGGCAAATTTGATTGCAGACATGGGAATGGAAAAACAAGGCTATACCTCGAATCCCTTATGTATTCCGATTAAATTAATATAATAATTGTAAATGAATAAACTGTGTTTATATAAAAATTATTTAGGAAACTTGACAAAACATTCTAATAATAAGCAGGTGAAAACATAATTATTCTTTAATATATGATTTAGTGTTCAATTAAGTTATATATTGGAAAAATATTATAAAAAAAATATAATAATATAGATATAAAAATAATTTGACAAATGATTATAATATCATTGAATGGCACGCCAATTTTAATTTTCACAATATTCATTATATATGTATCGCAGATTTTTTGGAATATGGTGATAGAAGAAAGTATCAGCTGTTTATATTTAGTAGATCATAATTATTTTACATTTTTATGCATTTTTTAAACTATAATTCTCAAACTATAAATTGACAAATATATTTATTTAAATGAGTTTACTTTAATCATTTTTATCATGATATTTATGGCTATAAAACTTGATTTTCAGTAAATTCTGGTTATTAAAAGGATAGAGCTTTAATTTTATCATCATGCTTATTATACAAATGTTTAAGCAAGTTTCCTAAAAAAAGGCGCTAATTTTTATTGGTTCTTATAAGTGTCATGGAAAAAATATCCTTCGTTACTTTTAAAATAAAGTATATACTTATCGGGTGGGAACTTATCCAAGTTTTATGGGGGTCGGGGCGAAAAACCTATTTAAAAGTATAATGGACCGGTTCGTCACATTTATCTTAGTCAACCTCCAATCTTAAGAATAGGAATGGCAAAATTATACATTATTTTCTGTAAAATGCCTGTAAGAGCAATTCTGATCATGCGAAGGATCGAATATTTAAAAATAATAAATATAAACCTAAATTTCCGTCATTATATTCTATGCCGTCAGCAGTGTGTATTTGAGGGTCGGTCCATAAATCGCCCACACCTTGTATGTCAACCACTAACAAAGCGTGTCCAGAGCGTTCAAAGGTAAAATGACTAAAAGCCTATGAGCATATTTATCATTTTAAAGAAATTATTTTTTTCTTTAAATTTTTCCAGAAAGGGAAAATTTTTATAAGTTTATAAATAGGCATTTTAAATTAAAAATAAGGAACTCGTAAAAAAAGGTGAAACATATTACAGGGGCCGATTAAAATCTTTTTCTAAATCGAATAAAACTTTTAATCCTCGATAAATGTTATAATTGGTTTGGAATCGGAAACAAAATTTACGAAACAGGGACAAATCTAGGAAGCGTAAACCGAGAACCGCGCCAAATCTTAGAATCAATTTTTCAATTTTTACCGGATGAAAGTCGTAATAAATTCAAACTAAAAAAAAATTGAGCCTGACGATATCTAACGGGTAAGTTAAATAAGAAATATATTCCAAAACTTGTGGTGTCATTCTAACGTTTTCGTCCCTTACGAAACCAGTGTTTGAATTGTATTTGATGTATTCTCCTTCTATGTACCGTTCTAAATGATAAAATTTGTCACTCTGTCTTTCGGGAAATTCTATGTATGTCATTTGAAGTATGTCAACCTTATCGGGATATAAAATATTATTGTATAGGTGGTATTGTGACTCAAATGTCGAAGAAAGTAACGCGCCATTTTGTTACTAATGTTTAAATAATGGATTGCCAAATATATATTGATAAAAATATTATTCAATAATTAATCTTAAAAAAAGATAATCAAATTTTGAGTTCCAAAAAAGTGGCAGCTTTATACCGGTTTGGGTGGTTTATGCCTACTATATTCTTCGCCCCATAATTTAGCGTCCATTTGTAGTTGGACATCCTTAATGTAGGTGGTTTTAGGCGTTGGTTCTTTGTAACATTTCGCTATGTAATTAGAACCACTTTTCCATCTATATCAATTTTTTTATAAATAAAATTAGAGTTTGAAAGAAAAAATATCTTCAAAATTTTTTTGATTTGTTTTTAAAGAAAGTTTTTAATCAAATTTTACCTAGAAATGCGAAATATTTTTTTGTAAAAAATTCTGTCATTTTTATGTAACTTTTGTAAAAAAAAATCATAAAGTTTTTAAAGATTTTTTTGCATATTCTGCTTGAAATAGTTCAATATCATTTTAAATAAAAATTACTCATATAAAAAATATATTGCCAGTAAGAACACAATTTAAAAAAAAAAAATTAATTTGTTTAAAAAAAATGAAATAAATATTTGCTAATAAAATGTTGGCGATTTTCATTTTTACGTCGTTTTTCGAAGAAGTACTTTGGAAAAAAAACAATATTTCTATATCTGAAATAATTCATAATATAAACAAAATTCCAAAGCAAATCGTAGCGCGATTTATTACAAGGTTTCAACCCTTCTTCGGTAAAATTTTATAGGAGAACGGGTTCGTCATGAATTTATATGGTCATAGCTTAATTCTACATTTACTTGCAGGGTAAAGTGGTGTGAGAAAGGAAGATAATGAATCAGAGCAGAATTTGAAATGTTCTTCAAAATAAAAAAATCTTGAAAGATTTTTGATCTCTGACGATTTTTTAAAATAAAATTGTTTCTGAGAATGCACAAATTTTATTAAAAATTCTAAATCTTTCAAAAAAATCTTATTATTTTTTTTTCAAAGCGCGGAAAAAAATAGGAAAAGAATGCATGATTTAAAATATACTTCTCGTGGCAATCATTTTCTTCATCATTTACGATAATGTTTCCGTCTTTGTCATATGCCGTCGGAATCTTTTTCCTGATGTTTAAAATATTTTTTTGATAAATCAAGGTATAATTTAAGTAGTGTTTTTCTTTCTTTCTCTTTCTTTCTGTATATATCACGATAATCATAAAATGAAGAACCATTATAAATTTATTTTTTATTAACTATCACACCTCTTCAGTTCAGTAACAACAAAAACAACAGTGTAAACTAACATTTAAAATTAAAGTATTGAAAACATATTCTATCTTAATTGGCCGCTTACATGGTGAGAGCTAATGTAAACTCTACTAAAACAGAGCACAACCATTTTAATATAAATTTAGTTTTACAATGATTAAGGATACCATACCATTTGCCATTCTAAATCTATAAGAGCAGGGCTCATATATAAACATAGTCATGGGTTCAATAAAAAATGTTCTTAACAAAAAATATAAATTGTTAATTTTAGTGAAAATATAAAAAGATAATATAAATTAATTTTTTAAGTTAAGAAACAAAAAAAATGATTTAACAAAAAATATAAATTGCAACGATAAAATAAAACGTTAATATAAACTAAAAATAAAATCTCGCCGAAAGACATTGAAGAAAATAAAATTTTAAATCGACATATCTAACAGATTTGCATTTATGTCTAGATAAATGAAAAGACTCTACTTTACGTGAATGTGTAAGTATGTCCTCCCATTATTTACATTGAACAAATCTAATTTTTTCATTGTGATTGTCTATTATTGTAATAAAATTATACCATACTTTGCTCTAATGAATTATTTTCAAATAATTTATATACCTGAGAATGTACTTTTTAAAGTATTTCTTGATTTTTATTCATTATATCTAAATGAAAATACTATAAATTTTTTATGCCATTTTTGATTTATAATATATAGAAAGAAAAGGTTTTAATATAAATGTTATGATAAAATTTTTTTTATTAAAATTAGTATATTGAAAAATTTATCTGCTAAAAGTTATAAATTGATGCATTTTATCTTTTTATGCTATAATAACCATTAATATTAAACCTAATCCATACAAGCAGATTGTAATGTATCGATTAATGGTATTTGATTATATGTTATATTTATCAATCTATCAATTTAATAGATTATTTATTATTTGAATTGTATTATTTTCGATTAATGTTATATGTCATTGTTTTTGAAGTTATTGTATCTTTTGAACTTCAAAATTTTATTTGAAAAAATAAAATAATATTTATTTAAATCTTTCACTGCACACACACATATATATATATAAAACATGTTATTATTAATAAAATAGGATCCCTCAAAATGTAAATAATATTTATTATCTATATAGTTTAAATTTTATAGTTATTGTCAAATACAAGTAAAATACTAAATTAAGCAATAAAAACGAAATTACTCCAAGGTATGTAGGATAGTATAGTGTGATAAATAATACAAAGAAAATAATTATGATGTTATATTCTTCCTATTAAATATCTTAAAATAAGCTAAATAAGAAAATTAGACACAAGCTCATTAAAAAAATCAACCCAAACTAGATCCAAGAATATATAATATTAGGGGCCTGCAGGCCGGCCCATAAATGTCTCTGTATTCTAGTGCATTACGAAGCCCCCAATCAATCAATATTTCTAAAGATGAGTTGGTTAAATTCTTTTAATAAAAACTTAGGGCGATTACCACAAAAGATAAATTAATTTTATAAGTTCTCCATTCGCTAATAATTTAATGATTGGAGAAGCTTTTAATAAAAATTAAAAAAATCTTTTGGAAATGTTTGCAATGCTCTTAACCCACGATTAAAGGTTATTTTTAATTTGCAAATGTCTATAGAACAAAATATTTCAACATATTTTTAGGCCCTCCCCTTAATTTTTTTACCGACAAATTGCAGATACTCTTTAAAATATTAAATTAACGGATCGGTTTAAACTGGATTCTTTTCCAATTGCATGTAAAATCTGGTGGGTCAGATCTATCTCCACTATATCTCATGTTCTTATCATCTTTTATCGGCCCGACCCAGACCCTCACTAAAAAAAATTTATAGACTCAGGCTAGACCCATATTTAATATTAAAAAAAATTCCTAAATACATAGTTTCAAAAATTTTGCTCAACCTTCCCAAGCCCATATCCAAAAATTTAATTTATTTTATTCAATGAAAATAGACAATATTACCGTATCAAATCAATTGTTTGTAATACTGAAATTTATTATTATTATGAAAAAAAATTTGCAATATTTTTTTAAGTTAGCAATTGTTTTAAATAAGCTATATAGATATAAATGAAAAAATTTTAGGCCCAAGGCCGACCTAAGCCCATTAAAAAAAAATTCAAAAACCGAGGCCTGCCAGAATATATTAGGCTCATACCCGTCCCATCCGCGGGTCAACCCAACCCATGAAGGTCACTATATCTTGTATGTTTTAAGATTTAAAAAACAATGATCTAGGCTCGGTCGGTGACCTGTTTAAAATGTAATCACAAAGTATATCTCTCAAAATAATTAATATTATTATCTATTTTTTTAAATAATATGTAATATCATCTGATTTATCAAAAAATATTTTCACACCTATTGATTTTTTTTTTAAACTTTTCTTATTTTGTAATTTTTTGTTTTTTTGAAAAAACCAATGATGACGAATCACGGTTTAAAATTTAAAATTCATTCATATTCAAGTCATGATTAATACCCAAGGTATGTACCAGAAGCCAAATTGATCGAAATTAACTGATCGCATTTTTTTAAATATAATGTACATTTGAAAAATTAATAATATATGTTTTATATATTATTGGTTAAATAAATCAATTACAACACGCCACCCCTTTTTTAAGAAGTCCAAGGCAAAAATATGATTGGTATTGTTAAATTTTTATAGCTTACGCATTTTTTGTAATATAATCATTTTTATGTTACGCATGTTTTAATAACCATGTAAAATATTTTCGAGCACAAAATATAAATCATTTATTATTATATAAACTTGTGATTAATTTGGTATGAAAGTAAACATTTTTATTTAAACAGAATGTCCCAAAAGTTAAAAAAACAATTTTAAAATTTATTAAATAAAAATCCAATAGATGGCGTAAAGTTCAAATGAAAAGCGTTGATTATTAAATATAGATTTAAGAAAAAAATTGCATAGATTAAAAATGAGAATATACTATTTAGCAGAGTTCCGAACCGTTAAGTAGTTTCGGTTTTTAATTTAATATAAAGATTTCGCTCCATTTCTGTTTTTTTTGAAAATTTTCATATCGGTTTATAACGGTTCTTTTCGGTTTGCTTCGAATTTTATAAATTTGATTTTAAAAAAAATTAATCATAAACAATATATATTAATCTTAGAGAAAAATCTTTTTGATTTATATTTTTATAATTTCTTATTTAATTTAACCATGATAATGGATATTTTTTCAAATTAAATTTTTTTATATCATAAATAATATAAACAAACATGCGCAAATACAATGAGAAATAAAATAACGCATAAATATAATGAAATATATACTATTTATGTTAAAGAGAATTAGAACAGATAATTAAAAGATTGTCTAATATTTCAGGATTTAATTTAGTTCTCTGCGCAGAGTATAAACTTAAGGCTAGAAAATGCTCTATCTACGGATACCTGCGTAGCTGGAACTGTTAGCACAGTTATAGCTAATTTAAAAAGTTCTGGCATACTATTTATTCTTTACATTTTCCCAATCATTCAAAAGATTAGTATCTTTTTTTAATCTCTGATCGAATTATATATTCTATTTCTATACATTTAGTATAATTTTCTATGCCCTGACAATTATTCTTATTAAGGCTTTCATGCGACTTTAATAAATCTTCAAAATCATCATCTAAATTATTCTTCGAATGTGAACACGTGGGCATATTCAATATTCTGATTATTTAAATTTTGTAATAAGTTCCAAGTTTTAGAAAGATGTTTTTTGACGATCTCTCTTTCTTCAAATGTTAAAAATACATTATATCATGGGTCGAGATATAAGTTGGGCAAAAAACATAATTTTACAAATTTATTTCTGGTGCTTTTATCGTAGAAACTAAAAGTCTGGCAAATGGAGTGTCTAATTTGCTCGTTTGCATCCCATTGTCAATTGTTCACTTTGTATATATTTTGTCGAAATATAAGCTGGATATAAAGCTTTTAATATATCGCTAATTATTTTCCATTCATTCTTTGATAAACATTTTTCGCGATCATTGCTTTGGAGTGATATTTCTTGGCAAACTCTAGTAATCTCTCCAACATTAAATAGATCGAGTTCCATCTTGTGCAACAATCTATTCGTGGTTTTTTCAAATTTAATTTGGACAGAATAGCCATTGTTTTATTGTCAAAACAAAATCACTTTCTCGAGATCATCGTCTATGCTACCAACAATGAATGTTTTTAATATATTATTGAAGGCGTGGAGCCATACACGTCCTAGCAAGGGGTACTTATCATTATCCACCAGTATGGCCTCTAGCGTTTTGTTCCCTTCAAGCTTCATGTTAACATTGGCTAAACCTATGATCTTGATAGCGCTGCCGTTATATCCTGTTAGCCTCATATCAGTCTTGCGTATCGTGGCTATGCCTACAGCCTTAGCTGTGTGCCTCGGTAATATCGTATACTTGGTGCGGTGTCCACTTGCATAAACATGGGTGTCGATGATGTTCACCCTAATATTTTAAGCATTTTATCTGATGTCATTGACTCCCAGATTGTTCATCTTCAGATCCTAAAGATTGCACTCTTTGACGTCGGTGTTTGAGACATCCTCATATAGTTAATGTTCGATTGAAAAGTACGATCTTTATAATCATAAGATCTGTTATTGGTATCGTTGTCATTATTGTAATGGTTGAGCCTAGGCGAACATTTCGGAAAACCATTGATGTTATGAGGGTTATGTCTATGATGACCGCGACGTGGGTGTTGTTTCAATTGTCGCCTCTCGCGTTGATCATGACTTTGACTATGGCCATAACGACAGTCGTGGCGGTAGACAT